GCCCAGCCGCATTGTCTTGAAATTTGCCGCTTTTCTTACTTCTGTAAGCTCACCTTGAAATAGGTAGAGGTTATCTTACACAAACGTCCAAAGATGCAAGCAGAACACCACCGTTACACTGAGGTTTTACAACCGAGCCGCGCCTACGATTTCCCGAAGTTAGTGAACTAAGCGCAATCACTACAACCTACAGGAGATGCATAAGACGTGACAGGGATATGGTATATAGCCCCCTGGGAAAACCGTTGTTAACTATGGCTCTAACGCCATCCATGACCGTGGCTATAGTGGGCAACCCTAACCCTTGGCCCGTCAGCATTCAGGAAATATCGGACGCAACCGCAACCTTAACCCTGGGCCATAAGTCCCAAACCCTAAAACCCTAGCCCAAACTCCGGACTCTAATTCTAAACCCCAACCCTGGCCTCAGCCGCAAATGCAGACTATAGCCCAAGCCCGACAACCTCGGCCCTAGAAATAACATAATTCCTACTAGTAATTTTAACTCCAACCGTATTCCAAGCCCTAACCTTCAACTCCATTCAGGTACCTGTGATGTCAATGACACTAGCGAAGATCAAAATCCGCGTACAGCATGACTCCTTTGCCTAACTTTTGTCAGGCAAACTGTTATGAACCGCAGAATGGCGCTATGGACAAAGACAGGAGACTGGAGTGGCCACTTCTGGCTTATTAGCCGTCGTCAGTCAGTTCTGCCTAACCCCAAGGTGTGCAAACCCTGGGACTCCATCCTGCAAATGGTTGGTTAGAAATCTAACGTACTAACTACTGAGCCGCGGACTCGTTGTACTTCTGGTTGCGATCGGGTATATACAATGGTAGGGGGCGCCCGGCGGGCGCGCTACGGAACTTACTCGTCCCGTTGTCTTGGGCCCACACCGCACCTACCTAGACAAGAAGGTATGTTTTTGAAAAACTACTTAAGGTTCTTACATACCTCATCCTTACCTAAAACTTGTTTAGAGCTAGAACAAAGTCTCAAGAACCTCATTCGGTACTGCAACCGTGATCTCGCTTCAAGCCCTCGAAGAGCTTGGTTTGGATTTGGTCAGAAATCGTTCCTCGTCAGCTGGCAGGAACTTCTATCAGCTGCTGATGGGGATTGGTCGCCTTAACTTTCGTTCAGACTCTTCGTAAAGCACCAATCATTGTGTTAGTCCAAGGAGAGGCTGTCTGTCCAAAGATCAAAACCTTCGTTAAAGTTTCTGTTGTCTGTCCACTTCCTGTCTAACGCAAAAAAAATTAGTCTTATTCAATCTCACGGATTCCTCACTCACCAACCTGATGAATTCAAATAAAACGATTGCGGCAGACTAACACACTTCTCCGTTTGAAATGGCTAAACTTAGTCTTCTAGTAACATTCCTTCATACAGACGCGTCACGCATACTGCCACGGCAGCTTAGGCCACAGGCAGGCCCTAGTCACTACGACCTTCAGGTCCGGTCCCAAATAGAAACAGTTGGACGCCAGTTGAGAGGATACTGTATTCTGTGCATAAAGGATGCCGAACAGGTTGAAACAAGTTGGCCGCCGGACGAGAGCATGCGACCGACTCCACAAGGGTGCCACCCCAAGTAGGAGTGGGGGATGCGTCACAGTGGCTTGAGTGGGAGCAGGTCTAGGTCGGCCTTGGAGTTGATTGGCCGGTTTGCATAGCCTTGATTGGCCGAGAATCAGACCTTCACTGGTGCGCGCACGTGCGAGCACCCGCTAGGGGAGCGGCGTTGTAACAGGCGCCCGGAGAAAGGTGGTCACTGTGCAATTTCAGTCGTGTTGTTTATCCGATTAGAAGAAATCACATTGAGCGAACGAACCTATTCGATTATTCGTTGCCGGGTCTGTACAATGGTATAAGTAAGGTCCTATCGAACAGCGTTCAAAGGCGCTTGCCTATATTTCCCTTAATAAACTGATACTGATACTGATACTGATGTCAGAAAGAAGTGGTAATTACAGTGTAGTTCTGTCAGGTGTACGGGCAGGGGGGGGGAGGGAAGGGAGGAAAATCCTCCAGTGATTTATGTTTATGCAACGCGTCAGAATTCAGAAGCCAAAATTTGAAACTCACCTTCAGCCAGGGCGGCTTCAAGGCCTGAGCGAACGTCTTTTGCAAGCACGATGTTGGGCTGGCTAACCGCGTGGCCACCGCCTCTGTCTTCGTAATTATCCGTTAGTGCAGAAACTGAGTACCTTGGCGGCTCATCGTAGATGACTTAAAGTGCTTGGTTGACGTCAACCAGATGAAACACAACTGCGCTAAAGATGAACTTTCGTGTCTAGTTTCAGCCAGGCAGGAAGGTGCTCTAGCATGCGCTTGGACAACGGGGGTAGTAACTAAAACCCCGAGCACCTTTCCGCCGATTCTGTAACGCTTCAGAAGGTATATGCGCGGAATTAGGTTCATCAGTGGCCCTTTCAGCGTCCTTCCTGGGCTTTCAGTTTCCAAGGTCGACTTTCTTACTTCCCCTGGCCGATGGTAAACAGTTCGTGAATATTTTGCATGTTAAAACACTGTCATAAATACCCCCGAACTTTAGTTGGCTTTGCACTAAACTTCAGGGGACAATGGTCAGAGTTAGGGTTGAGTTTGTGTTAGGTCTGGGTTAAAGTTAGTACGTAGGAGTAGGTATCTCCCTGGAATTTAGCGTAAGCCCATCCGTAGAACGGGGAGTACTTTTTCCCGTCATTTTCATGAAGCTGTTGGGTTTCAATTGAAACATTCATGCTCACTTCCGGTCTACTTGACTATGTCTTAGCGCAGATCCCAGGTGGGGGGGGGGGGGAGATTGCGGTAGATGCGGTGCAAGTCTGCGATCACTATAAAAGAAATGGTGTGCAAATCACCGTCCCTGTGCCCACTATGCCGTGGGGCACACGGCGGTCATCGCTGATCGCGACGGCTGAATTGTCGTGTAACATGAAGTGAAGTGATGGATGCGTTGGACCAACACGGGGCCAGGCCAGGGTCCGGCACACCTGATTTGGCTGTTCACCCATAACGAATGCCATACGTGGGGGTGTCACATGTGGGTTGGCGGCACGCCTATGTGCATGCTCAGGCCACGCCAACCACCTGCTTCCCATCCCGCCTCCAGGTCTTCTTGACTTTCGCATGACAGCGGGTCCAGTTGGGTGAAGAGAAGGGAGTGCCGCAGATGCAGCGCAATCACAATAAACTAATTCACGCACAAGCCACCGTGTCTGCGCCCACCAGGCTGTGAGGCATGCGGTGAATATCGTCGGAATTGACAGTCGAATTGTCGTAGTGCTACGCCGTCTTCGTTTATGGCTACATGCGCGTGTTTGATCCGCCCTTCAGAGCTTCGTTTATGTGCGAGTACTGCTGAGATAGCAACACGTTATAGACGTGAGTCATAATAGCTGCGGACTTATTGGCTCCGCAGCCTTTAACCTGCTTGTGACACGTCATCCTTCAAGAGCGAACTTCTTAAGCGGATCCTGACAGGTCCCGCCAGATGACTGTTTCGACTGACATCACTTAGCGAACTGAAATGCCAGATATTGTAACAGTAGAATCAAAGGCAAATCAGTTGGAAAAAAATTAACTGCCTACCTGCATAAGTCTCGGAAAGGACCTTTAAGTGGAAATCTGATAGCCTTGGGGATTATCACCTGAGCAAGAAGTATAAATAATTTGAAGGCCGAATAGCAGCATACTAAATTTCCGCACATCATCCAATCAATGCATTTTACTTCAACCTATTTTTGAGGACGGCTCGCGATCGTAACCAAGGCCAGGTGAAGGACGAATGGGCCAAATGGGCACTGTGGTAGCACATGATCGTGTAGTCTGTACTTTAGGAACCATTTTGATGCCCGACAGATCGACTGTTGATTCCGATAATGTAGCGTGAGCGTGACGTGCGCGTGAATTAGTTTACAGTGATGGCAAACTTGCGCAGCGTCTACTGCGCTCTCTCCTGCCCAACCTGCATATGTTCGGTATTATAAGAGAGTTAAGAAGACCGGGGATCGACGACGCGGCACGAGCCTACGCCAAGGCGTGCCACCAACACACCTGCCTAGATGTGACACTTGCTATTGGCGTGCAGCCGAAATAACGCGTACCACAGTAACGCCCCATGGTCTGTATAGGGTCGTTTAAATGAAGAGACACTTTTGGCACGCAGACCTAAGATGGAGATGGCGTAACTACATGTCGGTGAAAACGATCGGTGCCCTTCCCCCGCTCTACAGCTGACCCCCTCCCCGAAACTTTCCGTAACGCTCGCATCGCACGCTCCCTCTCTCTCTGTCTGTGTCAGCGTAGGCAACTCCCTCGACCCTCAACTACGGTTGCTCACAACACTGCGCTCTCCACCAGCTATTTAGCTGGCATGTCGATGTCGCCTCACCATCCAGTCAGGTTAATCCCTTGCTGTAACTCTACCCACATTTACAATAACTACCAGCATATCTATCTTCCCAGTTCTCATCTCTTCCCATTATACCTTATTGCCTACCTAACGTTTATTCTTCTCCTGCGTCGCGACATGCTGATAACTCTATTTAGATCGAACTTAGCCAGGATCTCTTCCCAGTGTTTTGCCACCTCGGCGTGTGCTATCATTGACGTCCTCGGCCGCTACACTATGCCGTAGTGTGCCCCCCCCCCCCCGATGGTCCAGCACATGACCTGCGTGGATAGTTCGTGGAAAATCCAGTCAGCATCCACAATCCTTCAGTTAACGAGGGGTCGTCTGCTTTACTAACTGTGTCCGTGGCGTCAGGCCCATTTTTGACAAAACACGTTCCCCAGCCCCGATGCACGGTTCAACCATGTGCATTTAGATGTCGTAGATCCTTTACCTCCATCCAATGGCTATACTCACCTTCTCACCTGCTTTGATCGCTATACTCGTTGGCCGGAAGCCATTCCTTTACCGAATGTGCAAGCTGAGACCATTGTGAAAGCCTTCGTCAGTCGTTGGGTCGCCATATTCGGTGCGCCATCCATGATTACGACTGATCGAGGCGCGCAGTTTGAGTCCACACTTTTCCAAACTCTTCCCAACTTACTTGGTTGCACACGTATCCGGACGACGGCCTACCACCCAGCTGCCAACGGCATGGTTGAGCGTTTCCACCGCCAGTTAAAAACTGCACTGCGTGCCGCAGAAGATCCCGAAAACTGGTCAGACAATGTACCCGTTGCACTTCTTGGCATTCGTGCGACACTGAAGTCAGACTTGGACTGCAGCGCAGCCGAATTGGTTTTCGGCACTACCCTCCGACTCCCTGGTGAGATGGTCACCCCAACCTCTCGTGGTGCCGAAGAGACCCCCGAAAATTTTGTGCATCGTCTGCGACAATTCATGCGCTCGCTTTCCCCGGTTCCACCTCGAGCTCCATCGACCGAGCCTTATGTTGAAAAAGGCTTAGCCAACTGCACCCATGTGTTCGTTCGGTGTAATCGTGTGCGGAAGCCGTTAGAATCACCATACGAAGGACCGTTCCGTGTGCTTGCACGTAACAGCAAGACCTTTCGGATCCTGCGAAGTGACAAAGAGGACGTAGTCAGCATCGACCGGGTCAAGGCTGCTGTTGCAGAGGAGCCCTCGGACGTGTCTCAAGGACAAGAATGTGCTGGCCCCATACCTCCTCCCACTCCTTTTCGACTTTCCCCACCTATCCCTCCGTCCCGTATACTTCCTCTTCCTTCTTGTTCGCAGCATCAAACTGCAACCTCTTCCTCCACCCTTAACTTGTCCACTACAACACCTACTCAGCTGCCTCCAACAGTGCCTCCTGCATATATCACCCGCAGTGGACGTCACGTTCACTTTCCCGATCGTCTAGTTACTCATTTCTCCTAGACCTTTGTATGTCCTCCGGCGTCGTTCACGCCGCCCTCCGGTCTCGGAGGGGGGTACTGTGCTGAAGTACTTGACTACCTGACCTTTGACAATCTTGTCACGTTTGTTTTACTGTAGCATTTGTTTTAACGTGACGAGTACTCCGCCGCTTGTAAGCTTCGCGCCGCTTGCATGCTCTCTGGTCAGGTCGTTGAGCATTTTGAATATTAACTTTATTCACTTACTGGCCTTCCTTACCTCTTTCCGTTTATGAGGTTAGTAAGCCGTAGTTCGTTAGTTCGCGGGAACGACATAACTTACGTCAAAGGGACTGGACCGTTAATTCATCCAAAATGCCTGTTGCGAGCGCAAAGGACGCGACTGCCAATCCTAGACAGGAGTTACGAAAGAATTAATAATTGAATGACAAACCACCTGACAATCCAACAGATGCCAAGCGCGCCGCGTTGTGTCTAGTTCCTTCCACTCAGTTAAGCAAACAGTAACTTCAAGAATGATGAACAGGTGGGTAAAGGCAAGATAGTCTGGCACCTCGACACACGCCCTCCTATCCTATCTGGGGGAGCATTGAGGATAACACTTTTGAGTTGACAATTTCATCTGCTCTGCTGTTTATTTCGTGTGCTTCATAAAGAAACATTGTGGAGGTAAACATCACGGAATAAACCACGTCCCTCCGCCTGATAATGCGCTGTTGTCAACAGTCCAACAATTCGCGAGCGGCCTCGCTAATTTTCTACAGCACCTTCTTCCAGGAGTGGACAGTCAATACTGTCCGCCGTAGTGCGGTTATGCCTTGTAGAATTTGCATGCTTACTCTCTCACTTTCACCCAATGCCATCAACTGTTGAAAAACAGGCTCAGACAGTCATTTACGGCATGGACGAGGGAAAAGATAGTGAGGTGAACAGTGGGCAATCCGCCTCAGTGCATTCCTCACTAATAATAAATCTGGTGTGTTGACGTTCGTGACTTGGAGGGATGCCATCTGACAGGATAACTCGGCCCTCATGGGAGTACTTTGGAGTTACTGGTGGACTGGGAGCCAGGCAGCAACGGCTGTTCCTTAACGTGGCCTTTATGGCATTCAGTAATTTTCTGGCAATGACAGATTTCCTTGAAATATTCTCCAGTAAAATGCACGGAAGATTTATATCTGCTGTACACTGTGCACAGTGAAATGGGTCAGGCACTTTACTCCCCCCCCCCCCCATCCCCGGGACTAGTTCGTCTTCGTGGTTTTACGCATAATCGTTAATTTTCTTTTCGATTATATTTTTCACTTATTTTGCACAGAGAACGCGTTTCTTCGCGCGTATCTGATTTTATGTTTCTGGTTCGGTGTAGTTCTGTACAACCAGGGGGGACCATTTCAAACTGCAGAGGGGATGTGCAGAGGGCACGCACACTTAACTCCCCGGGAAAGTACTTAACACTGTGTGTGGCTCAGCCGTCATGTTAAGGCCTGTAACAGTCTAATGTTATGTGTTTTCAGTTAATCTACTTACTCGTGTAACCGTCGGTCGTGCGTTTCTTGCCTGGTGAAATAAAAATATCCTGCGGGTTGTATCTGTCGCTTTCGGTCACAGTTCATTAGACGTTGAGGAATCATTCCACCTCACTGCAATAATCTGAAACGCTTTATGTCCTAGTTACCTTTCCTCATCCTGATTTTTCTAAAATCCATGGACCTCCTAGGCCACTGCTACACATTGATTTCTAGCGCGTAGTCAAGGCCAAAATGTCCGTAAAGTACAACACAAATATCGGCTCACCCGAAACCCTGAATTTTTCTTTTCGCATAAGGAATTATTTCCTATTAGTGCTTCTGTAGATAATTGTTGAATTTTTTCGCCAGTTTCTATTCATCTAATTTGTGCATGGAATGCGTTTTCTCGACCTTTTGTGGCGGCATGTCTTTGTCACGATACAGTTCTGTTAAAAACGCACAATCAACTGGCACCACTTCAAGGTAGAAAAAATCATGCCGAATTTCGTAAAATACCGCAATCATTTAATGCAGACCCACTGGGCACATGTCTCTGTTGCGTACAGAAATGTTCATTACTCTCTGTGATCTAGTACGAGAAGGAAATGCACATGCGAAAGTTAAGTAAAGCTTTGCAACTAAAACTTATGAATGAATTCCGAATTCATTTTATTAGAATTGCACGCTGTCCCCTACAGCGTCGAAGATCTTACCGACTGTATTCGTGGGATCTAGGCTACCACTTCAGTGGCGTGTCACGAAAACTGCGCTAACCATTTGTCACACAACATGGGCGTAGGAAAACCTGCCTAGTGTCTTTTCGACATAAATGTCCTGTAAATGTTTTAGGGAACTGCGGACTCCCGAAATTAGCTCCTTTCTTTTTCCACAACAACTTTATCAAGTTCCTGTATAGCTTCGGTTGGTCATCTAGTAATGAAAATCGGCGGAAGGGTATGGGATGCTGATTTTCACTGAGATCATTCCCTTGCATATGCTGGATAAATAACTTCGTTATCTTTGCGCACATTTGAGGGATCATTCATAAATACGTGTACTGCTAAGGAACTGCGCAATTAAATGACTGCTTGCCGACTTTATGCTTAAAATTATGCGCACCAGAAAATGAGCATTTCGACCTGTAGTTGGTAAGGGAAGTTACCAGAAGGTTAAAAGGAGGAAAAATGTAGCCTTTCGTCGTCAGTTAAACAGCTGGTTTGGTAGGTTCGTGTTGTTTTAATGGCCTGTCGCTCGTTTGTGCCCGACGCAATGGCTGTGGTCTGGATGCAGGCTTGTGAAATGATATAAAGTGAAAAGGCATCGAAATGGCCACGAAGATGGAATGAGACCACTAAAGTTGGGACGGAGCAAAAAAATAGTGCGCAAAGTAGATACTTCCAAAACATGCATAACAGAGAGCAAGTTGGTATTCCCTCGGCAAAATACGCTTGTATACTTGGAAACGACGGTTCGGCCGTCGCGGTTGACGACGTCCGCACGTGCCCTACGCGATGGGCTCAGATCCGACGAACGGCGCAGGAATTAATTTTCACTGATGTAGCCTTGCTCCGTTTCCACCGTACTCCCTCCTTCCTCATCCACCAGGCTTCAATGGTGAAACAACGTTCACACGACTAGAGGTGGACTGGGCCATAGGTGCTGACAAAGGCAAACGGACCGTCCACGCGTACCACACATGACCTGGTCACCGCTACATGTACCAGGCCTCCACATGTTGCGGCTGAGATCTCTTGTGCGAGAGAATGTTATGAACGCCGCGCTGAGAAGGCGCTATTGCGTACAGACTCTCATACCTGCGGCGGATTGAGTTACCTGGTCAGTTGACAACCTTCCAATCCACGAGTATTTACACCTCGTGCGTCCGATTTGCTGTGGTGGAGAATGTGCTGATATGTCCTGCAGACACATTCTTCAGCGTTGTCCTCTCTGTCACTTCCCTCCCCCTTGCCCCCAATCGACCGTTCGAGCTTGTCAGTCACTTAGTAGTGCTACTGGGCGCAGTGAGAGACGCGTGTGCGACAGCAGTTGTGACCTCACACAGACTTGGCGCAGCCCGGTAGGCGTGTACCGCGAGTCAGTCCGACCCCGTTCTGCTCCGGTGCATCTACTCCCCGACCTGCCGTGAAAAAAAAAAACAGACTTACACCGAATGACAGAGAACGTCCTTATGCGGAGGGAAAAGTTCGGGTTTTCAGAATTTCGGGTGAGCCTGTATTTGTGTTACGCAGTATGGACATGAGACCGTAACTGCACACCAGAAATCATGCATAGTAGAGGTCTAGGGGGTGACGGTCTGCAAGAAAATCGAGACGAGGAAAGGGAACTGGAATACAAAATATTTAATATTCATGCAGTGAAATTAAATGGTTCCTCAACGCCCAACGAACTGCAACTAAAAGCAACTGAAACAACTCGCGGGACATTCTCATTTCACCAAGCACTGAGCACACGACTGGCAGTTACGCGAGTAAGTGGATTAACTGAAAACACTTAACATTAGACTGTGGTATGCCCTGACATGACGGCTGAATCAGAAGCAGTGTCAAGTACCTTATCGGGGAGCTAAGCTCGCACACGCTGTAGACATCCTTGCTTGTAAATAATGCCACGCATCAGTGACCTGTTTTGCACATATTCGCAGGAAACTTGGACGGGTTTTAGGACACAGCGTGTAATGTCGGACACAATCACGCTGGAAATAAACGTTCATGACCCCCATTGACTATTCCGTTATCTCAAGTCCTGGATTTTGGGAGATCCAAAAGAACCTACTCTGGCGTTCACGACCGACAGATTTCGGAGGGGAGTCTTGAGTAAAAGACGTTTTCAGGGATCTCCATTTTATGAACATGATTGGAACTCAAGCCAGTGAGCAGTATCCGAGATGCGCTTGAGGTTTGTTAACTTACCCTTCAGTGACGTTTTGGAGCCGATTGTCACTGAGACCGTCCATGAACATTATTAGTGGTGAGATAGTGTTGGTGGCGGTGAATGCCAAAGCTGTGGACTAGTAGGTTTGCGGAGGGACGTATAATGGTTATTTGGTATTTCTAGTTTAAGCGCGGGTTCTGGGTGTTGTAGAGGTAATATGTAACCTATACATTTGAAACATCGGAAGATCGCGTGTGGCAAACCAGGGAAGTCATACAACTCAGAAAGGCATGTTCCCAGACGGGTAGCCGTCACATATGATATCGAACCCGGTTCCCTACTACACAGACTACATTTAAGGCGGTTTTCCTAAGGGTACACATGGTCATTTGTTTGGTATTCATTTTAGTTTTCCAAAAATGCAACTGGCAAATCACATTTAAAAATGGGCACAAGTAACGTTCTCAACGCATGGCATTTAGAGACACCGTTGTGGTTCGATGAATCAGTTTACAAGGTGTTCCTAACTCATGCACGGAAGTCCAAAAACACTGGAAACACTATACACGGTCACTTGTACTGGAGGTTATAAAAAAACCGAAGAATTATTTTCTGGGAG